TCTTGTAATTCCCCTGCCTACCCTCTCCAGAAAGGAGAGACTTCAAATGCTGGGCAGCTTAAACAGTACAAGTTCATTGTGCAGTTGGGGAGCAAGGCTCAAGGAAGGTGAATCACAGTTAAATGAGGCTTGAGGAATGAGTTTTTGGCCTCACTCAAGGGAGCTCAGTCATGTTGTGCAGATTGTTAGACCTCTGGGAGCCTCTGGGTCCTCATCTGAAGAAAGGGAGTTTTGATCACAACCCCAGCCCTATGACTCTGCAACCAGAGCCTTCTTTCCAGGAAGAAGATACAAATATAAATAGGATAATAGAAGCAGACAGATCTCTAAGAAGTACCTCTTATAACTTATAGAATGATGAGTCGAAACTATCTGAAATACAGATGCGGGAAAGCTGGATATGAGGACCTCTGCTAGAGAGGGCTCACTGCAGAGTAAGGTGTAGGAAGCGTGTGGACCTAGGAGTCAGCTGCACCTTGCTGCCTGTGCTCTTTCACAGTTCCGCCCTGTACTTGTGGACTGACTCAGAGGAAATTCCCCAGGCTTGTTTTCTCTTCTGTGAGGTGGAGATAATGCTCCTTGACGACACTCCTTGACTGTGGTGAAGACTTAAATGAGGTCCCGTGTGCCAAAGTGCCTGCTGCGTAGGAGGCGATCTACTAAGGTTATTACTTTCCTCCCTAGAGGCCTGGGGATCTGGTTCTAGAACATAGTCTTGCTCTCTGAGTCTCCCCCTGGAGTGGAGGGAGTTAAATGGGAATTTAATGAGCATTTGCCCAGTTCAGGTTCACAGTCCCAGGCTCTAGGCCAGGCCCCTTGTGGGGTTTAAAAAAAAACCAGAGTTTGTACTTGCATTACTGAGCTCACAGGCCAATGTCTCCCTGTACCATACTCTGGGAGCAGTATGAGAGAAGAGTTGAGACCTGTGTAATACCAAACTTAGTAGAAAGTCTTTGTTTTACTTTTACATTTTTATTATAAAATGAAACAGAGATAACCATATAAAACAAATAAATAGTTTATTAAATTATTTTAAAGCAGCCGCCCTTGTAGGTCAAGATAATACATCTCACCGGCACTCTACAAGCACTCTACATGCCTCATCTCAATGTAACTACCCCCCAAGCCTCCCACAGTAGCCACCCTCCTGACTTTAAGAATAGTCACATCCAAAAAAGGAAAAAAAATAGTCACATCCTACCTTTCTCTATAGTTTACCACTTAAATGTGCCTCCCTGGGTAATACAGTTTATTCCTACCCTCATCTTTTAAATTTGACAATGCCTGTTAAGTGTTTTAATCTGTCGGTTTCCCTCTTTACCCCTTTCTCTTTATTACAGTTTATCAGTTGAAGGACTAGGCCGTTTGGCCCATAGTTTCCTGGGTTTTGCTGATTGAACACTGATCCTGGCGCATGTCCACACATCCCTGTACCCTCTGTATTTCCTGGCACCTTTTTTATTTTTGTTTTTTGGCTGCACCGTGCAACATGCAGGATGCTGGATCTCAGCAGTTCCCCATTCGGGGATCAAACCGGGGCCGCCTGTATTGGGAGAATGAATCTTAACCACTGGACCACCAGGAAAGTCCCACCTGGCACTCCTTATTCTCCCAAGCACAACGTCTTCTATAAAGGAGCTCAGTGGCCATATTGTAATTGAAGTGGATGGGAACATGGAATCTTTGGTACATGATTCACTCATAATTGAGATACAGTATACCATCTTCTAATTACCACAGCAGCTGATTTCCTTTGAAAGAATTTCTAGGAAGGCCTTATTTTAGATGAAGTTTACATTACAGTTCTTACCAACTGACTCATTTTTATCACTCATGCATCTTTAGAATGATATATCAAAGATCAAATCCCAGAAATCCCATTAACCTCTGGGTTATGCAAAAATTAGTTGTTCAGTTTTTCAAGTCTGTGGTGTCAGTAACAGAAACTGTGTGTTTCTGATATTTGTTTTGTAGCATTCTTAAACTGTTACAGGCATATGTAGCTCTGCAAATTCATGTTCCTACTTATGTCAGCCAGGAAAGGAAAATATGGAGAAACTATAGTTTATCTGAAAGAGTTTGGGAATAGACTCTTTTAATCAGTAAGTGTTCTCCTTAGCTAAATGTGTTCGTATGTACCTTCATGTATGTGGTAGTTTCTAAGGAATTTGTATGCAACTCAATACATATAAACTACATGTGGAATATAATTTAACGTTTCTTCAGTGAGTCACGATCTTATACTGCCTTACAACCATCACTATGGGTGATTTTTAAAAAATGATTTATTATTTTATTTGTTGACTGTGGTGGGTCTTTGTTGCTGCACACAGGCTTTCTCTACTTGTGGCAAGCTAGGGGCACTCTTTGACTGGGTCCAGAAGATTGAGATGATAAAATACAGGTTACTCTGTGTGTTGAATCTTCTCACAAATCCTAGTTATTACCACCTTCCATTCATTCTGTTAACATATTATCCTAGCCTCTGGCTAAGCACGAAGTTTAGTTGCATTTTATGAGTACTCAACAATAGAGAAGAAAATAATATTTCTACATACAGTTCACTGTTTAAAAGGTATTAAAATATCTCATTGAAGAAACAATAGAAAATAAAATTGATGTTAGGGACTCTGGCAATCCTGTTTTTGCGTATGCCCAAACTCTGGGAGTTGGTGATGGACAGGGAGACCTGACGTGCTGCCATCCATGGGGTCACAAAGAATCGGACACGACTGAGCTACTGTACTGAACTGAACTGAAGCCTCAAATGCCTGGGTGAGGTCCTTTAGGGGTGAAGAATTAATACATTCTGGGGAATAAACTAATGAATGAACACGTCTCTGGTCAGCCCGTAGGTGTCCATAATCCACAGTTTATGCCTCAAAATAAATTTCTGAATCCTGAAGCTTGCAGACTCTCCCAAATAAATGAGAATGGATGGATAGATAGATGACAAATACAGGAAATGCTCTGTGTTGTTTATCACAAGATTGAGTCAGAATCTCTGCACTGTAGGTGGAAGAAAGCAGTTAGTAAGTCTGGGAGGATCACAACAAACTGGGAAATTCTTCAAGAGATGGGAATACCAGACTACCTTACCCGCCTCCTGAGAAACCTGTACGCAGGTCAAGAAGCACCAGTTAGAACTGGACATGGAACAATGGACTGGTTCCAAATTGGGAAAGGAGTATGTCAAGGCTGTATAGTGTCATTCTGCTTATTTAACTTATACGTAGAATACATCATGCAAAATGCCAGGTTGGATTAAGCACAAGATGGAATCAAGATTACCGGGAGAAATATCAATCACCTCAGATATGCATATGACACCACCCTAACGGCAGAAAGCAAAGAGGAACTAAAGAGCCTCTTGATGAAGGTGAAAGAGAGTGAAAAAGCTAGCTTAAAACTCAAATCCAAAAAATGAAGATCATGGTATCTGGTCCCATGACGCCATGGCAAATAGATGGGGGAAAAATGGAAGCAATGACAGACTTTATCTTCTGGAGATTCCAAAATCACTGCAGATGGTGACTGCAGCCATGAAATTAAAAGACACTTGCTCCTTGGAAGAAAAGCTGTGAGAAACCTAGACAGCATATTAAAAAACAGAGACATCACTTTGCTGATAAAGGTCCATCTGGTTAAAGCTATGGTTATTCCAGTAGTCATGCACAGATGTGAGAGTTGGACCATGAAGGCTGAACACTGAAGAATTGATGCTTTCAAACTGTGGTGATGAAGAGTCTTGAGAGTCCCTTGGACAGCAAAGAGATCAAACCAGTCAATCCTGAAGGAAATCAACTGAATATTCTTTGAAAGGACTGATGCTGAAGCTGAAGCTCCAGTACTTTGGCCACCTGATGGGAAGAGCTGACTCACTGGAAAAGGCCCAGATGCTGGGAAAGATTGAGGGCAGGAGGAGAAGGAGACGACAGAGGATGAGATGGTTGGATGGCATCATCAACTCAATGATCTTGAGTTTGAGCAAATCTTGGGAGATAATGAAGGACAGGGAAGCATGGCGTGCTGCATAGGGTAGCAAAGAATCTGACGCAACTTAGAGACTGAACGACCGAAGTCTGGGTTTTAGTCCTGGCTCATCTTTTCCTGCAGGTGGCGCTATTGGTAAAGAACCCTGCCTGCCAACGGAAGAGATGTGGGTTCCATGCCTGGATTGGGAAGGTCCCCAGGATGAAGGCATGGCAGTCCACTCCAGTATTCTTGCCTGGAGAATCCCCATAGACAGAGGAACCTGGCATGCTACATTTCATGAGATCGCAAAGAATCAGACACGACTGAGTGACTTAGTACACATACACACACACATGGATTAAAATTAGACAGATATCAGTGAAAATAAAATGTATGCCTCTAATAGCAAATGTTACACAAATCAATGTGATGATTTCTGTTATACTAATTTTTATTTTTACAATAGATTTATAATGTTCTATACATTCTACAGCTGAGCTATAGAATAGCCATGGCTTATCTTAGAGATTAAAAATTCATAAATGTGTACTTCTTTTGTGTAGGCTCTAGACTGGGGAGGAGAATGCCCCAACCACATCCATCAGAAACAAGCATGTTGTTGTTCAGTTGTTAAGTGGCCTTTGACTCTTTGCTACCCCATGGACTGCAACACGCCAGGCTTCCCTGTCCTTTACTATCTCCCAGAGTTTGCTCAAATTCATGTCCATAAAGTCGGTGATGCCATCCAACCACCTCATCCTCTTCTTGTTGATTTTCTTCTTTCTCTGAAACTTTGGCTCACTGAGAATAGAGAAGTGTGTGAAGCCCATCTCATGAAGTTGAGTCATGATGGGCCCACCTGTATAACCTTTGCTGGGCCCCGCTGATTGGCCGGTGAAGGAGAAAAGGGTGAATTCCTGAGCTTCAGTGTCCCCGGTTCTCCCACCTTAGCAAGCCCCCAGTCACTTGCTTTGTCTTAAGCAGTCTGTAGTTTCTACTTCTCCATTCTCCTTTCATTCCTACAGGCCATGCAGGATGCGCTGGCAGACCTTCCGGAATGGTACGGGATAAAAGGCATGCAGGCCCACTGGATCGGGGACTGTGTGGGCTGCCATCTGGACTTCACGTTAAAGGTGATTGAGCAGGAGCATCTGCAGCAGTTCATGCTCACAAACCCCCTTCTGCCTCTTTAGACCTCTTTTTAGAAAAGTAGGTGCCTGTATTCATCACATAAATCCTGGAGGAAAGTATAGCACCTTTCCCAGGACAAATAACATTGACAGTTGTTATTAATTCTTGGACAGAGGAGCCAGGAACTGGGGAAGGCCTCTTTCTGGGCATGCTTTGACGTCCTTTGATGGGGACCCACAAGTAGGCCTGGGGGTAGGCTCTGGGGAGGCCTCCTGAGAGAGGAACTGTGGGCCTCTTCTCTCTCCCCCTGTCTGCCCCTGCCTGGGACCATCTCAGGCCCCCACGTGCCTGCTGCTGCTGTCCCCGCTGCCTGGGATTGAGGAGGGGTGGGAACAGGGGATGTGGGCTGTGGAGTACGGCAGCCCAGAGTGGGGACTGAGAAATGAAATGACTCCGCCTCTTGTCAGGTTGATGGGCAAGTCACAGGAGAAAAGCTGAGCGCCTACACAGCCACCCCCGAGGCCGTTTATGGCGCCTCCCATGTGGCCATCTCTCCCAGCCACAGGCTCTTGCACGGGCACAGCCCTCTGAAGGAAACCTTTCAGAAGGCCCTCGTCCCTGGCCAAGGTGAGTCGGCAAGTTAAGGTTAAGAGGGGGTCGTTATGCCTTACATTTCACAGGGTTCACAGTCCTTCCACATATGTCATCCCATGTGATCTGTTCCTCTCCTTGGCCTGACTTTATGTGTCGATTTTAAAGAGTGAGGATCAGAAAGAGCCTTAAAAATAAGTTACTTTGAGTCAGTAGCTTCTCCGCTTCTTAAGTTTTTGTTTGAAAGTTCAACTCTTTCCCTTTAAGTATAATCTAGATTCAAAGCTCTTTTCTGATAAGAATAGAATCTTGTGCTTAATTTATAGTCTCATCATCAAGTAAAACTAGACTGACAAGGACAGGAAGGAAGCCAGTGAGAAACAGAGGAAACATTTCAATAACTTAATTTTAGTGTTTCTTAAGAATTCACAGAGTGATCTGAACAGACCAGCAGTCTGGTCTTTAATGAATGAATCAAGCTGACCTCGAATTGGCATAGCAAGTGTTGGTCAGTGAGGATGAGAAGTGCCTCTGCATTAGCCTGAAGTCCAGGGCTGCAAGTCACAGAGTCCACCTCTGGATAACCCAGAGGAAAGGGGGAACATACTGGAAAACTGTGGGAAAAACCAGTCTGGAAGAGGACTTGGACTAGTCAGCCACATGGGTTGGGGCAGCAAGAACGAATAATGTCTTAATACCACTGGCTGAGGAAATCTGTTCTCACCTTGCCATCAACACTTGGGGCACTTGGTTTGAGATTCATCCTGCAGAGAAATGTGTCCGATTGGTACAGCTGGGGACCCTGGCCTCTGCTAGCTGATGGAAGGCCAGGTACCTTATTCCTTGATAGCCCCCCAGGACTGTCATCCGTGAGGAAGGGATAGCTCTGTAAAACTCAGGCTCTTACCAGAGGAAGGGGTATGAATCCTGGGCAGGCAAAAGGAACTGCCCTGTAAATTAGAAGTAGGTCTCAAGAGAAATGTAAATATTTCTGTAAAAATCACAGCCCACTTCACTTTTCATAGACTATAAACTTCAACCCAAGGCACATAGTCTGAATTATTGCAGGTCTGTTTAAGTTACTAGATTAATAAACATTTTTGAATGGTAATATAGTTTTGTGTGTTTTTTTTATTTTAAATAATTGCTATGCGTAAAATAGCCAGAAGGAAAGACTCCCTGATCAGATTGGAAAGATAAACAGTGTTGCCCCAGCTTCTCTCTGCTTAAGACTTCTAATTCTTAACAACAGTAATACTCAGATCAGTTAATACTTACTGAGAGCTGGCTGCGTGCGGAGCACTGGGGGACGGGTAGGTGGCCACTCAGTCTTGCCTCCTGGGAGGCTGCAGCAGAGGAGACCCAGATGCATACGTAATTCACTGGCACAGGACAGATATCACTTGGTTTCATCTCTTTGGTTGTTCTATATTGAAATAAGGAAAAGACTCTTTTAAGATTTCAGTGTGTGTTTCTGAAGTCCAGTATAACTCTCAGTTTTATTTTCCATTTATTCAAAAGAAAAATTGGATTCTTTTCAGTGGCTTAAAGGGAAAACTCATCATTTTTACTCTCATGAGCATTTTGAGATTTCTTGAGAGCTATGGCAGTGGAATAATATCTAAAATTGAAAAACTAAAAAATGTGAATCTGACCTTAGATTCCCCCTCCATGCTTAAGTTGGGGACATAAATTAAAATGAAGTAATAGCAGTAGGGGATTAACTAGCTAATAAGTTATAAAAGATAGAGTTCCTGCCATGAAAGATACTATATGAACCCAAAACATTTTCACATGTAAAAAATTAAGAGGTGATTTTAGCATGTGCAATTTTCACAGTCATGTGGGTACCAGCACATCTGACTTGGCCTGGTTGGTTTCCTTTTGGCGCTGAGTGGCTTATTTGCTTGGTTCTCCCTTCTTTAGTAATTTCTGAAATAAATCCAAATGGAATGCTCTACTTGGCTCTAAATTTTCCGATTCTAATTTTCAGAATGGAAATATTCTTTTTTCAGATGCCAATTTATTCAAAGTCTCTAGATTAATTTGCATGTCAGACCTCTGGATATTGACCTGTGGCCTCAGTCATTTATGGCCAGTACAGTGCTTGAGTATAATGCGGTTTTCCCGAAGGTGAATTAAAACTACTGCATGGATGTGGATTTATGCCTCCTTTGGCCTCTGAGGTCACATTTTAAACCTGAGCATCTTATCACTAGTGTCATTTACCATTGCCAACTGGCTCCATTCAGACAGGTGCCTTGGTTTCCCCTCAAATATCTGGTTTTCAGGATAAATATTAAAGTAGTGACCACTGCAAGTCATAGTAGCACACAGTTGTGATTGAATTTATCACTTGCATGAGCTTAAATTCTCACACTCGAGTGCCTACAGTTGCTGAGTTGGTATCTGCATACGGGCTCCTGAGTTCGCACAAGATGACCAAGGTTCTGATCCCAGATCCATCCTGTAACCAAAGGAAGTTGAGTTTTCTCAGCAGCACAGGTGATGGGGCTGCCAGGCAAGGTGGTGTACAGAAGGAGTCCTGAGGGGCTCTGAGGTGGGGTGTGGACGGGGTGATGTGTGAGCCTTAGCGTGGAGGCAGGAGAGCTGGCTCCCCCAGTAGTGAGGTGGGAAGTGGTGAAGACCCTGAGACAGTGGCCATCAGGATGGAGGGGTGGGGATAGCTCTCAGAATTATTTGTTTAGAAGGCTCCTCGGGCATCTCCCTGATTTTTGGCCTGGCCGACTATGTCGCTCATGTTTTTGACTAAATGTACTGTTTTTGCCCAGCATTCTGCGATTGGCACAGATTGCTTTAAGAGAGCGAAAAGCAACGTCCCTCTCTGTACAGATCCTGGAATTGAGTGTACTTCCATAATCATTGCCGTTGTCTCCTCTTCTCAGCTGACCGCCTCTGACTTAAGTCGTGTTCCGTAAGCTGCGACTTGACAGGAACTAGAGACCATAAAAAGCATCAATGGGGGAAATATTGTCAGAGTTCTAGACGCTGTTCTGTTTTTTCCTGGAGTCTTTTTCTTACACTCCTGATATTAAAATATGCAAACCCTGGGGCTTTGGAACCATGCATTTCAGCTCTGAGTCACTGGTGGTCTACACAATGCATTTTTTTGCCAAAAGGGTAAATGAGGTCTCCGTAATAAGTGGCTTAGGAACCCTGTCTTTGTTGACACATTAGAGAGAGGCCCCAAAGCATTGAATAACTTATGGCTCCCTATTGCCTTGCCCTGTCTCCGTAGAATCGGTGTAGGGGTGGAACAAAGGGCCAGGAACAGAATCCTGTGGGTAATAGTTTGTCCCCACTAGTATCCTTTCAGTTCAGCAGGTGTTGGTAGATGCTGTGCGGAGGAAGGCTTCTGTCTCAGGTAACCTGGTATAAAGCAGATATAAATAGGTTTCTTTGCTTGTCCTTGTCTGTGCTGACGTGCACTGTGATTGTCACAGGGGAACGTCAGGCGACTCTCCTCACACTTGCTTGACCTGGGGGCCCTGTTTCCACAGAGATCCGGGGACCGAGTTGCAGGCAACACCGCTCTGCTAAGCACTGAACAAAAATCCCTGGTCTGTTTTTCCAAGGGGCATGAGAGACCTGCCTTGTTTGCAGTGGGGGCCCTGAGAGAGAGGGCAGCTTCTTGCCTAGAATGCTTCCTTTGTAATTACTGACTGTTAAATTAGTAATCCTTTGTGTTTTCTAAGGCCTTTAATGGTGATTTAACCCCTGTATGAACTGCTTGAGTCACTTGGGATTTCTCCCTGGCTTCCTGCTTCACATTGCCGGCACATGGCTCATGAGAAATGTGGAGAACGCCAATCCTGACCAAGAACTTCAGATCTTAACTTTCGTTCTTTCTGAGAAATAGATTGTGACTGCGTAGAGCAGGCATGTTGCTGTAGGGCATTCATTACCAATCTGTTCATATGTAAATTCAAATAATAACTTTTTTTCTAATTGAAAAATAGTCACAATAGACTTTTAGTGGGAAAATGAAAAAAATCCAGCCCTTTAATCCATACTCTACTTTTTTCCTTATTTTTCTGATAATGACTTTATTGATATATATTTCACATACCATAAAATTCATCTATTTAAAGTGTACAATTCAATGATTTTTTTGTATCTCCACAGAGTTGTACAACCATCACCACTATCAATTTTAGGACATTTTCATCACCGCCCCCCACAAAGAAATCCCATACCCTCTAGCAAGCATGCTCAATACCTCCTATTTCCCCAGCCCCAGGAAACCACTGATCTACTTTCTTTCTCCATATCTTTGCCTGTTCTGGACATTTCATATAAATGGACTCACATGGTATTTGTTCTCTTGTGACTGGTTTCTTTCACTTAGTGTAATGTTTTCAAGGATACAGTGTTGTAGCATGTGTCAGTACTTCACTCCTTTTATTTCAGAATAATACTTCATTATATATACCACATTTTATTTATCCTTTCATCAGTTGATAGATATTTTGGTTTCCACTCTCTAGCTAGCTGCCATGTACCTTTGGTACAGATTCTTGTGTGGATATATGCTTTTATTTCTTCATATATGTATCTAAGAATTTAGTTGTTGGGTCTTATGTTAATAGTAACTCTATATTTCACTGGTTGAGGAACTGTCAGACTTTCTCAAGGCAGGTGCTCTATTTTATATCCCCAGAAGCAGTGCAAAGGGATCCAGTACTCCACATCTTTGCCAGCACTTGTCACTGTCTTTTTTGTTATGGTCATGCTAATGGGTGTGAAGCATTATCTCTCTGTGGCTTCGATTTGCATTTATCTGATGACTAATGGTGTTGATCATCTTTTCATGTCCTTATTGGCCATTTACATATCTTCTGTAGAGGATTATCTATTCAGAGCATCTGCTCAATTTTTAATTGAGTTGTCTTTTTATTCTTTACTTTTGATAGTTCTTTACACTAGATACAAGTTTCTCATCAGGTATATGATTTACATAAATGTTCTCCAGTTCTGTGAGTATTCTTTTCTCTTCTTGGTGTCCTTTGAAGCTTGGAAGTTTTAAATTTTTGTGAAGTCCAGTTTATCTATTAATACTGTTTCTTCTGTTGTTTTTGCTTTTGGTGTTATATCTAAGACACCATTGCCTAGTCAAAGATCATGAAGGTTTACATCTGTGTTTTCTTCTAAGACTTTTGTAGTTTTAGATCTTATATTTAGGTTTTTAATCTATTTTTAAATTAAGTTTAATTTATTCTTTTGCATGTGGTCATACATCTTTTAAATTCATGTTCCCACACACACTCATCCTAAAAATCAGACTGCTCTTGTCTTTTTTTTCATTTTTTACTTAATATGATATCAGAAAATATTTCTTAGTTTTTAGGCAGGCTTGTCTTTAATCCATGCATAATATTCTGTCAACTCAATGTACCATAATATTCTAAATCTTCCCTATCCTGTTGAATATTTGGCCTTTTTCGTGTTTGGGCTATTAGGGAGTTCTTTGCCTCTGTAGAATTACTTCCTTAGAAAACAGCTCCCCCCCTCAAAAAAAAACAAAGAAAGAAAACATCCCCAAGAGTGTGATTTTTTTGGTCAAAGTTTATGAACCCTTCTTTGGTTCTTTTTACATGTTGCTTTTATTGGCTTCTGAAAGGGCTATATCAGTTTAGAGCGTCTTATCCAAATGACATACAAATTTCAGTGCAACTTCACAGTGATGGTACCCTTCTAATTTTATTTTATTTATCTATCTTTTGGCTGTGCTGGGTCTTCAGCACTACATCAGCTTTTTTCTGGTTGCGGTGGCTTGTCTTGTTGCTGAGCCCGGACTCAGTAGTTGTGGCCCAAGGGCTCAGTACTTCCGGCTGAGGGCTCTAGAGCACAGGCTCAGTAGTTGTGGCACATGGGCTTAGTTGCTCCGCAGCAGGTGGGATCTTCTCAGACCAGGGATTGAACCTGCATTTCCTGTATTGTCAGGCAAATTCTTAACCACCAGGGAAAGCCTTGATGGTACCCTTCTAAAAGTTTTCCAACTTAGCGAGTAAAAAGTAATACTTTAAGATCACTTTCCATCTCTCTTTATAAAAATTAATTTGTGTTTTTAAAAATCTAAGTAACATGTGTATATTACATGAAATTTCAGAGGGTACTAACAACAACAATGACTGTAGCCTCCTCACCCAACCTCTTTTAATAATTTGGGGAACATGTTACTAAAATGTAAGTTTGGTGGCTTGGCAGAGTCCTAGAAAACTAGTGAGTCCGAAGAAGTTTATTTCTGGCACACGTGAAGCACAGAGTGGGTATGACAAGTTTGCCCTGTGAGCGGTCAGGCCGAGGTGCTTACTTTTGCCCTGCTCGGCCCCTCTAGGATGTCGCCCTCATCTGAGCATTCTCAGTTGTTCTGCATGTCATCTGCATTGTGGGAAGAAGGGGTGGGGGAAGAGGGCAGCCCCTTCCCTTTGCGAGCATGTCCTCATGTTCTTCTGCCTGCATTCCACAGCCATAATCAGAGGCAAGACAGACACGGGGTCAGCTGGCAGCCTGTGCCCAAGCAGAGATTTGTGGTCTGTTTGGATAGTTATCTTCTGTTTGGATAATTCCAAATTAAGTGTTTTGTTATGACCACATAAATATCAGTCATCTGAGCCAAATATACTATGATTACATTTTCCTTTTTCTATAACTTTCTATTTTTCCTGAAGTTCATCTTGTTCTCTCTCTCTTTTTTTTTTTCATTTGTTTTTTGTTCTTTGAATTTCTGATTGTCTTCCCACGCCCTCCCAGAAGCTCTTTAAAACTCCTTTCAAGTTTTCTACATATTCCGGTCTGTCAGATAATCTGCCAGTCCTCTGTTTTTCCCTGACGATGCTTCCTGGGGCTCTCTGTCCTGCTCACATGTCACCTGGTCCTTCTCCCGGCTCCTGCCACACATCTGCCATCCTGGGAGTCCTGTCTGTTGCTGCTCTGCAGATGTCCCTGCCCTCTTCTCTTTGTTGGATTCCTTGTTTGTTTCCTGGATTCCATATCTGCCTCTTTCTTGATTTACCCCTTCCTTTCGCAGGGCATCCCTGGTGGCTTAGACGGTAAAGTGTCTGCCCGCAATGCAGGAGACCCGGGTTCGATCCCTGGGTAAGGAAGATCCCCTGGAGAAGGAAATGGCAACCCACTCCAGCATCCTTGGCTGGAAAATCCCATGGTTGGAGGAGTCTGACAGGTTACAGTCCATGGGGTCTCAAAGAGTCGGACACGAGTAAGCGACTTTCACTTTTTGCTGGACCACAGCCTCTGGTATCTCCTTAGAAATGGATCATGAGAAGGAACGGAATGTTTCGTCCTTGTATGTGTGAAAATCGGATCTCTGCTCAGTCATTTTCCCCTTTCCTAGCCACTTCCATCTTTAAGTGTTATGTTTTAAAATTCCAGATATCTCTTAGTTTCACCATAGATAGATTATTGGTTTTCTCTTTCTTCTGTATACTTGAGGTACTTTTCTAAAGAATAAGGGAGGTGGTAGGAACATCTTTCCTCCACCTTCTGGAAAGCAAAAGTGCCATTTTCACTTCTTTGGTGAGGAGCACGAATGAATATTCTCATGTATTTGTTTAATCTTTTGATTCTCCACTAGTGTGAATTATCTGTTAATACCTTCAAAGAACAAATTCTATAATAATTAGCACAAAACACAGGTTCTAAAGCTTCTTTTTCTCACTTGTCTCCTCTGAGACGCAGAGGGTGTCAGAGCCCCAGCTGACGGGCCTCCACCGTTGTTTGCCCTCGTTTTCAGATTGCCTGACGCCTGTGACGGCTGTGAGCATGCTCACCCAGCAGGAAGTCCCGGTCATCATCTTGGCCAAAGCTGACTTGGAGGGCTCTCTAGATGCAAAAATAGGTAAGTAGCTAGTAAAATGTAATCAGGAGAATGTCTTTAGCAGGCTTAAGATCAAAATACTAGCCTGGAAGAGCTGGCTGTATATTCCATGATCTGTTTTGCCTCTTTGTAAAAATGAGTGTCCCTTCATATCATGTCTCTTAGTTAAAGCATTGCATTTTGAAAACACATTGAGTGTACCGCATCTTGCTCCTTGCTACTGAGAATAATCAAAAATGTCTGGCCCACAGATTTTGCCAGTGGAGCTAGTTGGTGAGACTTGCCTATACAATGTGGGGAACCATACTACTCAGATAAGAATCCCATTTCAGAACTCATAGAAGCAGCAGTAGCTACTGAGATGGGGGTTCAAAGCACACATGATTGATGTGGGCTAACTTTTAGGGGAAGACTTAGTGGAGGGGGTGACCTTGAGCCAGGAAAGAAAGGGATTGTGAAACAGCAGTAGAATCGAAGGCATTTGTAGAGCTGTAAATTGTATGTGGTTGGTGGCCTTACTCATTGCTGAGTGCTCTAAACTATCCTCACCTAACTGGAAGTCTGGGGTTGAACCAGGGGATGGAACCTAATCATATCCCATCCAAGACCTGCCCTGAAGGGGACCCGAGCATCTCTCTTTTACAACTTACCTACTATAGATTCCAGCCAGTCACCAGTGAGCTGGAACCTGCAGAGAAGGTTACTGCCACAGTCTCTATCTCCTAGGACACAGAAGAAGTAGCGTTGCTTATTGAAACCATGTTTTTCCTCACAGTCCTCAAATCCTTTTTTGACAAAGTGATTTGAAGAAACACCAACCCAGAAAACAGATATTTAGCCATTCAAGTCATTCTTATCTGACAGTTTAACCTAGAAAATATGTTGCTTAAGGGACATAATTCCTTCTAGTACTTTAATGCATCTTATAATTAGTAAAATGCATTAATATAGCCAGCCAAGTTGAACAGTAAGGGAAGCTCTTGCTGATGTGGCTTTTTTTTTCCCCCCTCATTTGGTATTTTGAGTCAAAGTACTGGCACAATATTGAGAGTTTTGAAGAAAAAGGGAACAAGAAAAAGAGAAATCTGATTTTCTTGGGTATGCATGGAAAATCAGTTTTCCTATTGTCTTCATTTTGCATACTTGCATAATTAACATTTTCTAAGTTATTGTCTCTTGCGCTCCAAGAATAACAGAAACGAAAGTAAACGAGATGAAGTAGGGTTTTCACCATCTTGCCGGCATGTTACAAATAGTTTACATGCTGCTGAGCCCTACGTGACCAACATGGTGGCCCAGCGCGAGCTTTATGCGGTCAGGTAAATTCTGTGGTCACATCTCCATTTGCAGATCTCTCTCTGAGTTACTCCAGACCACACAGGAATGGAGTAAATGACTTCCTTCCCTCCTTGTCCATGAACACTTCTCAGCAACCTTCATTGCTTGCCATTTGTCCTCCCCCTTCAGTGTCTTTCAAGTCCACTCTGACAGTTTATTTGCTTCATTAGATGCTTTTTGTCAATAATCTCAGCTGGAATAAACACCACAGAGCTTTCTGTCATACCGTGGTGTTTTCTATCTTACCAAGGAGGTTTAGAACCCGCACCCCAAACATTAAGTCGCCCTTGTAGGGCAGCGTCCCAGAGAGGCTGTTCGTGGAGATCTGAGGCAAGCGTCGTGTGTGTGACCCTTAGTTCTCTCTCTCAGTTGCCGTGTGGCATGCTGTGTCCCCACAGCCAACTTCAGAATGTCAGATCGGGCCCAAGTGGAGAAACCCTGGCCTACAGAACTGACAGCTGAAAAGCCTGTTTTTCTGAAGAGCTGAAGCTGAAACAGCAGGCCCTGACCCTCTGAATGAGCGATTTCCTTACACTCAGCTCCATCTCCTCAAGGGCGTATGTGGGTTGAAGAATGTACTGCTGCCTCTGGGGACAAAGTGCAGTATGGAGAGACACAGTTGCCAGCTTTCCACTTCCTGCCCGAGTGGGTGTTTCTGGGGCGCTGGGAGACGCTAGCGGAGTCAGCCCTGCTGATCAAGAGCACCCCACTGTGCTGTGTCACTGAAAGAGTTCAAAACCAGGCTTCCCCGGGTGCTTGTGATTCACTGTTTAAGTGACAAAAGCACCCAAAATTGTATATTTTAGAATTATAAGTAATTGTTTTCAAAGAAAGTAAACAAAGGAATGAGACGTAAAGAAAGTAGGGTCAATACGGAACACCATGGTGTCAGGGCGGTGAGTTTCCCCAAGACTATTCTCCCTTTGCTCAGTGAATGCGATGTGGTTTGATTATTTCTCTGACTAAAAAAGATAGAGTCTCCCTTCAAAAGCTAATGCTGAGTGTCAGTGCTCGCAGTCCTTTTGTGATTTGGGCATTTGCAAAGAAGACATTTTGTATTTCTTCTCCTTGAACAGGAATTCCCAGCACCAGCTTAGAGGACTCCGCCTTGGCCCAGGCTCTGGGCCTGTCCTACTCGGAAGTCATTGAAACGACGCCAGACGGCACAGAGAGACTGAGTGACTCTGCGGAGGTTGGTGGGGCCTAAGATTTTACTTCTAAACTCATGGTCTTCACATGAGCTTGATGGTGCATTTTCCTTTCGATGCAAGTTACAACCTACCATTTACCATTGCATTCATCCCCACACCTAACAGTCTTGCAGCCTCGTTTCTAAATCTATGAAACCAAAATAATGTTCCTTTATTACTATTATTATTTACTTTTATTTTATTTATTTATTTTGGCCACACAGGATCTTAGTTGAAGCATGTGAACTCTTAGTTGCGACATGTGGGATCAAATTCCCTGACCAGAGGTTGAACCCAGGTCCCCTGCATTGGGAGCATGGAGCCTTAGCCACTGGATCAACAGGGAAGCCAAAAACAATGTACTTTTTCAAGATCTAAAAGCTTCTCAACTCCAAGTTGAACCAGATCCCCGAATAGTATAGTTGTCGGAATAACTAATACCTTATTTTGGGAATCTTCTGCTTGAGAAAAATGACCTCCTCCAGGGAAACTGGTTCCTTGAGGCAGTTGACCAAAATTGGCTTTTCCTTTTAGAGCTCTATCTTCTCCCCAGATACTTATTTTCAGACAGTGGCAGTCCAGGGTGGTGGCCTCAGGGTAGCAGCTCACTCTTACCGCTCTCCTCCCCCTCTCAGTTCACAGGTATGCAGCGGCAGGCTGCGTTTCTAGCCCTGACTCAGAAAGCCCGGAGGGAGAGAGTGGGCGGTGACGTGACGAGTGACAAGCTGAAGGACTGGCTGATCTCGAGGCAGCGGTACTGGGGCACGCCCATCCCCATGGTCCACTGTCCGGCCTGTGGGCCCGTGCCCGTGCCTTTGGAGGACTTGCCCGTGACCCTGCCCAGCATCACCTGTTTCACCGGCAAGGGAGGCTCCCCACTGGCCTCGGCTTCCGAGTGGGTGAACTGCTCCTGCCCTAGGTAAGGAGCCACACCCCTCGGCCGCGACCCTGCCTGGCCCAGCCCCTGCTGGAGTGCCAGACTGCCCTGTCCCTCCTTCTGCTAACTCTGCTCTTGGACGCCCACTTGGCTGGAAAGAATAACATGGGTCTTTTGCAATCTCAGAAAGAGGAGGTTGGAATCTGGAGCCCAGCCCTGTGATGGGTGCCCTCTCCTCTCCTCTGGGCTGGTGGAGGCAACAATATCAATTCACATCTTTTCCAGAAACAGCCGATCCAACTGATGGAAAAGCTACACATTTTCATCATAGCTTTGGAAAAGACCACTTTCCTTCATTTTGTATTCCAAAGAGCTTCTCAGAGAAAAGAGGAAACGCCTTACGGTTTTCCCACAGAGTGACTATGATAACAGTGGAGATTTTATCACAAGCAGCAGAATAGTAGCTACGAGGACAAGTGTACTCAGGGGTCCCATTCTTTAATATCCTGAAATATGTCATATCTCCTTAATTCTCATTTTGGAAGTAGGATTATGTTTTCTGTCAATTCACTGGCGTTTCTCCCATTTTTTTTTTTTTAAGATCTTTTGATGTGGATCATTTTTTAAAAATCTGTATTGAATTTGTTACAGTATAGCTTCTGCTTTGGTTTTTTGATTTTTTGATTCTTTGGCCCTGAGACATATAGGGTCTTAGCTCCCAACTAGGGATCAAACCCTCCTCCCCTGCATTGGAAGGCAAAGTCTTAACCACTGGACCTCTAGGGAAGTCCCTCCCATGTGACTTTTTAGGATGCCATTCCAACTGATTAAAAAGTAAATAACAGATAACAAAGTATGGTATTTCCCTCTGTCCTTCTATGGAAAAGCCATTTTTCTCTGCCTTGTAGATCATGCTGGGGTTGTTTTAAAGTTTTAAAATAACTTAGTCCTCTTACTTCCACCTCTAGGTCAGTAATTAGATATTCACCTAGTTGGATGGCATCATCAACTCAATGACCATGAGTCTGAGCAAACTCTGGGAGATAGTGAAAGACAAGGAAGCCTGGTGTGCTGCAGTCCATGGGGTCGCAAAGAGACGCGACTGGGTGACTGAACAGTAGTGCAAGTGCATGGCTCGGGCTGGGGAAACAGCACTCATGGCTTCAAGTCCTGGCCTGGCCTCTTCACCAGCTATGTGGTCTTGGGAAAGTCACGTAAGCTTGCTGAGCACTGATTTCCCTATCAGGAGCGAAAATAACCCCATGAAGGGGTTTCAGAAGATGAGAATTAACACATGGAACCCAGCACAGTGGCTCCTAGCAGACACTCTGTAACTGGAAGTATTAGCGACATTCTGCCCCGGCCTGCCAGCAGTTTACCCAGGTGCTCACGCAGGCAGTTTTGAGGTTTGTGATGGGGCTTGCAGGAATGTAGGAATCTCTGGTCCAGGTAGGGGAGAGATAGCACACCCTTTTTGTTGATAAACAGTAACAGAGTACTTCTCTGTTGGAGACATGGGCAGCCTTCAGCCCACCCACTGTGGCTGCCCAGGGCCTTGCTGGTGGGGATAAGATCTACCTTGTCTACTGATTCCTGCAGAGCAGACCCCAGGCGTGGGCTTGGTCAAGGCTCCCTGTTGAATCTGATGAGCATGCAGGGCTGAGAGCCGCTGAGCCCATGTGGCCAAGCGGGACAGCCCAGTGGTAGGGACCAAGGGCACCAGACTACAGCGGAGGTAGATTCATTACCCTTGAGCTGCAGGACCTTGAGCAGATTTCTCAGCCTCTCTGAACCCTAGTTACCCATCTGCAAAGTGGGGACGTCAGTAGTGTCTACCTCATCATCCCCAGAGTTACTGGGGATTAAATGAGATAAAGCCCGGGAAGCATTTGGCTCAGTGCCCACCACCCAGTTTTAGTATTATTAATGTTGGAGCTAATAATGGTAGTAACGCTGTCACCATCACCGTTGTCTATGCCTCCCACTTACCAAGTAGTCTCTTCTGTATAATCCAGCTTTTAGTGTCAGCCATAAAAGGTGTTGGTCAACTTCAAATCCACCATGACCATTTAAAAAATCAGCATGGCAAGTTTTGGTCAGATATCAGCCCCTTTTATTAGCTGAGTCCTGCGTTTTCCTCCTAAATCGTATGTGTACCCTAACAGTGAGGAAGAAGAAGAGACATTTACCTTCTAATTATTTCCCAAAAATAGTATGTGTTCTGGTTGCTTACTCTCCAGATAAAGAGATCTGGCTTTCATTTAGAGATGCACTGTTGAGATCAGATTCTTAGAGCAGCCCTGGGTCGTAGGAAACAGGATTAGGGGTCCCCTGGGGCTCTCTCCGATAAGCCCCTTCCCCTGGAACCAGCACTGTTCCCAGTGGGAGGCCCCCTGACTGAGAGGCATGAGGCCCCTGGGAGCCCAGAGCCCTGCCAGGTGTGGGCTCCTGTGTTCTCTGCTCAGCCACTTCCATTTAATAAGCAGGAGGTGGGAGTGACTGTTTCCTCCGGTAATATTCAGAAAGCCAGTATGAACTGCTTCACATATGCAACATATAAAGGCAACCCTTCTTTTATTTATTTATTTTTTTTAGATTCCTTCTTTTATTTTTAAAATTAAAAACAGACTGAAGCCCTTACGTGCTAAATTAGCAAAGGATTCATCACTTCCTCTTGGGGGCACATCATCCCCCTCCTCAAATTTTCCAAGAACAACTCCCTCCCCCAAGGACTCATCCCACCAAGAAGGCAGCATTGGGAGGCATGGTTGGTCCCACTTCCATGCTTCAGAAGGAAGAGCCTGGGGTCCGAGCTGTGTTCTCCTGCTGTGGCTTCTCACAGCCACAAAGGGTCCCTGCTAATAGCTGTTGACCCCCATCCACTACTGATCCATGCCTTTGAGGGGTCTTCAAGGGAGCCAAGCACCTTCCTTGGCCAGGCTTGGCTAAGGGTACCGTCTCTTGCCTTCCCAGAAGTGGTGGCTTATGGTTCCAGTCCGCTGGGCCGTCATCCTATGACACGTTTCAAAATTGGTTTGGTAGTTGGGCCCTTACGGAACCTCAGTCCTCTCCACGTATCACATTCCTAGGATGAGCACTGCTTTTTCTTTTCAACCCTTCACATACCACGCATCTCCCTCCATTCACTGTCTTGAACTGGGGGCTATCTTCACCTTCTGTAAGGAGCCTTTCTTTAGACAATGGTGTGTTGGTGAGTGTGTACTAAATAGATCACTGGAGCAGGGCTTCTGATTTGTAGTGTTGGCCCATTTCTATGGTACAGGTACTTCCTCCAAGGGCTAACTTCAGACGACCCCTTGGCATCACTCGTCGCATGGTTGGGAAGAGATCTCAAGAGTCAATCCTCACAAGCTGGTACAAGTTGCTTCAGCACACTTCTACTTTTGGGTCTCCATGGTGACTTATCTTCCTGAGGTCAGGAAGCAGTGGATATCCACTGTGGATATCTGCTCCTCTCAGCCAAGAGATAGAGATAGGAAAAATTTTTTTTAAAGAACCAAGTTCATTTTTCAGTGCAGTATCTCACTACATTTGGTTTTCAACTTCTCTTCATAAACCGATGTGCCCCATGAGCATTATAGAGTAGTAGGCATTGGCTGACGAGTCGTGACATGCCTAAGAGAGAAGTGAGTGCATAAAGAGATAAGATTCCTGTTAGATATTCTACCATGTTAAATTCAGAGAAGTAGAGAATAGGGCTTTTAATTGTCGAAGATTTACATTTTTAAGTTTCTTTAAAGCATTGTGTACCCTGCAGTACAAAGAGAGCCCATGCCATGAACTGTTCTTTTCATGATGTGACATTGTTCTTGTGACATTTTGAATTCATACTAATTGTTATAGCTTTCTGAAAAGCTGGTGGAAAATGTATTAATACTTAAAAAGAAACCAATCGATGAACTTTCTTTCCTTCTTAGGTGCAAAGGAGCAGCCACAAGAGAGACAGATACGATGGATACCTTTGTGGATTCTGCTTGGTACTACTTCAGATATACTGACCCTCAGAATACTCAGAGGTACAGAAAGCCCTGCTGAATTCATGAGCATGTGTTGGTCTGGGTCTTCCATGAAGCAAACATCAAGATAGAATGACTCTGATGTATAGAACAGACTTGTGGACTCTGGGAGAAGGCGAGGGTGGGATGTTTCAAGAGAACAGCATTGAAACACGTATATTATCTAGGGTGAAACAGATCACCAGCCCAGGTTGGGTGCATGAGACAAGTGCTCGGGCCTGGTGCACTGGGAAGACCCAGAGGGATCGGGTGGAGAGGGAGGTGGGAGGGGGGACCGGGATGGGGAATACATGTAAATCCATGGCTAATTCATTTCAATGTATGACAAAAACCACAGCAATGATGTAAAGTAATTAGCCTCCAACTAATAAAAATAAATGAAAAAAAAAAAAAAGATAGAATTCAATGGGCAAGAGATTTATGGGGGCAGGTGCCTCTGGGGAATAAAGAGGTGAGGGAGCAGGAGTCGGCAGCCAAGCCCTGGACTGGGATATAGGTCTGTCTGACACCTGTGAAAAAAAGGACAAAGGCAGAAGGATTGGGTCGAAGAGCCTCAGACCCCAGCACAGCTTGAAAATTCTTGAGCAGGCCGGATAGGAAACGCCGAGAGTCCCAAGTCAGGAGGCAATGCCTACACTGGTCCGCTCCTCCCAGGAGGGCACAGACTGCCATCAACACCCGGTGGGTCCAGAGATGAAAGAGCTGGAAGCCATGGGTCAACTGTATTCTTTGAAACAGGGTCTTGTAGTGTGTTCAATTATTAAATTAGATTCTTCAGAGCCAAGTAAATCCCAGGTATAGGAAAAATGAAAAAGAATAAAAGGAAGAGCTTTGGTAATACCCTCGTTGGCCCCGCAGTGAACTGCATATATGCAGTTGTAAATATGTAAAGTTATTAACTTAACCGAAAATAATGATGTAAGTATACAGGGAGGGTAGAAGATAGAGAGTCAGCGAGCTGAGAGCGTGACCTCTTCGCACATACGGTCACTAGATAATTTCCACAACTGATAAATGAACAAAGCATATAAACATATTTTTAAATAATTTCCAGGAAAAAAAAATCTGAAAGGTTTAAAAGTGGCTAAGTGACAAGTAGGCGGTCGGTGGGGGGTAGTGAAGGACCAGGGTGGGAGACCACTGTTCTACATTATAAACCTTTCGGGACTGTTTGATTTTTTTTAGCTATGTGCTTGTGCTTCTTTGACAAAAATAAATAAGGGAAAGAGAGCAATGGGTAGATGGGTAGAGAAGGAAATGAGAACAAAAGAAAACTGGTGCAGAGCACAGGAAACCACAGACACTGTGCTTCAAAGACCTTGCCGACTCGCTCTTGTCCACGGGAGAGCGGTTATACTGAAACCCTGTAGGCCAAGTATAAAAATGGCCCCATTTTCTTCGATGGTTGGGAGATAATGTATTTCCAGGGAGACGGGCGCTCCTGCCTGCCCCAGTCCTGCTGTTCTATGATTCGCGTGGAGGCTGTGCAGAAATGAGCAGGAGCCAGTGAACAGCAGCTATCAGAGGCAGAAAGGACGCAGAGGGATTGCTGCGGCTGGGACCAACCAGGCAACCCCGGCCAACCCACAGAGAGGCCCCTCTTCTGGGTCTTTCTTCTCGAAGGAGCTTTTATTGCCTTCCATTTCACGTGTGGTTGTGAGAGTTAGACCAGAAAGAAGGCTGAGTGCTGAAGAATTGATGCTTTTGAGCTGTGGTGTTGGAGAAGACTCTTGAGAGTCCCTTGGACAGCAAGGAGATCAAACCAGTCAATCCTAAAGGAAATCAACCCTGAATATTCACTGGAAGGACTGATGCTGAAGCTGAAGCTCCGATACTTTGGCCACCTGATGCGAAGAGCCACCTCATTGGAAAAGACCCTGATGCTGGAAAAGGTTGAGGTCAGGAAGAGAAGAGGGCAGCAGAGAATGAGATGGTTGGATAGCATCACTGATTCAACGGACATGAACTTGGATAAACTCCGGGAGACAGTGAAGAACAGGGAAGCTTGGCGTGCTGCAATCCATGGGTTTGCAAAGAGTCAGAAAGACTTAGCGACTCAACAATGGCAACAATAATTTAGGAAGAGCAGCCTTACAGTGCAAGGGAAATCAGACTCTCCACCTCTCAGAAAGCTTCGAGGGAAAACCTTCCTACAGATGACAGACTCCGGCTTAATGAGGGGCCCCTGAGTGGTGAGACACGTCCTGAGACCTTCACAGCCCCCGGTTTGGAATCCCACCCAGCACATCATTCCCCTTGTCAAATGCTGCTGTGCATTTCCATGCTGCCTTGTGCTGTCACTGGGTGGCTTCCCGGATGGGTCATAGATCCCAGCCATAGCTACTTTCATTGTCTCACTCCTCAGTTTATTTCAAGCTTACTTTCAGGCACCATCCTTGACTTCCCTTGCTTTTCTGTCGCCTGTGTGAGCAGTCACATTTCTCCAGGGAGCCATTTTTCACATAGAAACATTATTTAAAATTTTGCCAGAATTCTGGCATCATAGCTGGAGGAGAGAAAGCCAAGCTGTATTAAGATGCAAACACATGGTGTTTGGCCAGGCCCACCTGCCGAGCCCTGGGCTCCTGCTTCCAGCCCGAGATGGAGCAAAGGTCCACGCTGGGGGGAACAATGTGCTTGAGGTGTGGGGAGGAGAATTCACAAATACGGGAAGCCATGGGGTGCAGATCCTCCACAGGCCAAGGTTTGCCTCACTGGATGACCTCAAGAGAGGGCATTACCCTGGGGATGAAGAGATCTGTCCCCAGCCCGTGCTGTTTCTCCCTCTCACCCCCCACCAGCCCCACACCCGACAAGAACCCCAGCCAGGAAATAGAGGGAGTGGCCTTTTCCTCCTTGGCATCCATTAGGATTGAGAATGATGCTTCCAGTGAGGAAACTTTTCTTTTAGGACCTCCACTGACCAAAAAATACCTGTTGGGTGAGAGAGAGTTGAGCTATTTTAATTACTCTACGTATGCTAAGGGCATTTCAAGAGGCATATACAGGCTCTTGCTGACTATCTGCATTTTGAGGCTACTTTTGAGACAGATTTTCTGTTTTAAAATCAATGTTTAGTGTCTGCGTGAGTCTCCATTTTAAGTGCCATATTGCCCTCTATTGGTAAGAACTCAAAAATCTCTATTGTCTATGGTAATAAAAATTAAAATAAAACAAGACAGTCAAATATATGCCTTGTACAGAAATACCTTTATTGCTGGTATATATTCCGTTTGTCCTCATTCTATGTGAAAATCACATTTGTTAAAATATGTCAGCAATGACTTCTGAAACAGTTCTTGTAAATTTCATAAATTAATATTGCTCTGACATTTTTCTCCTCTCTTATGTAAGCTTCTCATTATATTTTAAAATGAAAATCACTGTTTTTCTTTCACATAATTTATTTCAGGGAATATGCAAATTATAATGTCTATCTAATTTATGCAGTTGTAACAAAGTAGGTTTTTTTTTTTTTTTTTTAATAAATGACCATTTCTCTTCCTCCCAGCCCTTTCAGCACAGCGCTGGCAGATTACTGGATGCCTGTGGATTTGTACATTGGAGGGAAAGAGCATGCTGTCATGCACTTGTTCTATGCGAGATTCTTCAGTCATTTTTGCCACGATCAAAAAATGGTCAAACACAGGTGAGCATTTACACTGCTTTGCAAAAGAATTCAGTTTCTTGAATAGCAGCCAAAAGCAGGTGTCAGTTCTTCTGGAGCAAGGTGAATATATATGTAGCAGAAGAACTCTTATTTTTCAAGTATGCTTTAGAGGTCACTGTCAGCCTTAACCGTTGGAAGTCCACTTGTGTTGTTGAGTCAGTCCTAGCCTGTGCTGTTTGCCTACTCACGTAGGATCTTCCCTTCAGCTCTTCTCTGTTAGATGGAGTTAAATCTCTGCTAATGGAGATTTTTCACCTGGGAGGCAGCGAAGAGCTTTCATTATGTTACATGGCTTTTTATAGCTTCTCGTGTGAGGTCATGTTTATCATCAGGTCCTTCGATGTCTGCTCTGTTTTCAAGGTTGACTGAATCCTGTCTCAATATATCACTCTGATAAAAGTTCATAATGGATTAAAAGCTAGGGAAAAATCCATTGAGAAATTCGTTCCCTGTTGGTCCATAATCTGCTCCCCATGGTGATCAGAAAGATGTATGTGTGGGCTTCTTCCCCATGAAATACCTTATATATAAATATGTATATATATGTGTGTGTGTGTACATATATATAATGTATACAATATGTATATTTAATGTATTATACAATTTTAAAAATAAAATGACCATCCATGCACCCCCCCCCCTTGTCACATTAGGAAATAGAGTTCTACAGGCCCCTTAGAATACCCAGGGTGCCCTCTCTAATCAGATCATCCCCATTCCTACACCTCCGCCTCTGCCCCACACAATCCCATTCCTGGATCTTGAATTATGCATTTTCTTGCTTTTCTTAAATTTATTACTTCTTGATATATTTCGACTTAATTTATATTTTACTTTGAGATACAGTTAATTTACAATCTTGTGTTAGTGTCAGGTCTAGAGCAAAGTGATTCAGTTTCATATATATATATATATATAAAACTATCTTTTGCAGATTCTTTTCCTGTATAGGTTATTGCAGAGTATCAAGTAGAGGTCCCTGTGCTGTACAGTAGACCCTTGTTGATTATTTATTTTATATATATCATTGTGTATGAGTTAATCCCAAACTCCTACTAATTTATCACTCCCCTCAACCTTTCCACTTTGATAACCATAAGTTTGCTTTCTACATTTGTGACTCTATTTCTGTTTGTAAATAAGTTCATTTGTATCATCTTTTTAGATATCACCTATAAGTTATATGTGTTTGTCTTTCTCTGTCTGATTTACTACACCTAGTATGATAATCTCTAGGTCCATCCATGTTGCTGAAAGTGGCATTATTTCATTCTTTTTTGTGACCAAGTAATATTCCACTGTATATTTGTATGACATCTTCTTTACCCATTCCTCTGCTGACGGACATTTGGGTTCCTTCTGTGTCCTGGCTAATGTAAATAGTCTGCAGTGAACATTGATGTGCATTTCAAATTATGGTCTCCATAGTGGTTGTACCAATTTACATTCCCATCAACAGTGTAGGAGGATTACCTTTTCTCTGCACTCAACATTTGTCATTTGCAGACCTTTAAAATTTTATTTGTTTATTTGTGGCAGTGCTGGGTCTTCATTGGTGTGTGTGAGCTTTCTCATGCTGTGGCAAGCGGGGGCTACTTTCTAGTTGCAGTGCATGGGCTTCTCATTGAGGTGGCTTCTCTTATTTCGGAAAGTGGACTCTTGAGTGCACAGGATTCAGTAGTCACAGTTCGAGGGCCCCCGAGCAAGGGCTTAGTTGCCCCAAGGCATGTGGAGTCTTCTCAGGCCAGGGATCAAACCCATGTCTCCTGCATTGGCAGGCGGGCTTTTTACCACAGGACCATCAGGGAAGTCCTGTTTGTAGACTTTTGATGATAGCCATTCTGGCTGGTGTGAGGTGCTACCTCAGTTTAGTTTGATTTGCATTTCTTTAATAGTTGGCAGTGATGAATATTTTAAGATATATGTATTGTTTCTGTCTTTGAACTTTGTATAAATAGAATCATATTTCACATATTCTCTCTTGCTTCCCTTGCTCAGCATTTTTGGAATTTCATCCATCTTGCTGCATAGAGTAGTTCCATTCCTGTTTTACTGCCCTCTGGTATTCCATTACATGGAATAGAATTTCTGGAATAGAGTTTCTAATACAGAGTTCCGTTCATGTCCATACCATTAATGTCCTTGGGCTGTTTTGTGCAGTTATGAACAAAACTGCTGGGAGCATCCATGTATGTTTCCTGACATACACACATGAGCAGTTCTCTAAGATATGTGTCTGGAGTGAGACTGCCGAATTGTAGGATTACTCACATGATCAACTTTAGTAAGAAGGCCAGGCTGTTTTTCAAATTGATGATATAAACCTACACTGGCACTACCAGAGGAGAGCATCCTATTTATTACTTGACATCTTCACCATTACAACATACAGTGCTGCCATCCCTGCATCTCCATGGAGGATGGGTTCTGGGACCTGCTGAGGGTACCAAATCTGCAGATGCTCAGTTGCCATGGTTGGCCCTTGATATCAATGAGTTCCACATGCTTGGATTCAACCAACCACGGATCGTAAAACACAGAGGGCTGATTGTATTATCCAACTGTAAGAATTCTGTCAAACTTGTGGTTTTATAATGGATGAATTTGTGAGTTAAATTTGAATTTAAAGACTTAATGAAGTTTAACATGTTTTCATTATGTTTATGAGCCTCTGTGTTTCCGCTTCCATTAAATCCCTGTTTGTGTGTTCTGCTCTTATTTCTTCTGGGCTATCTTTTATCAATTGTAGGAATTCTATAAATATTTTGGGTGCTATGTGTATTGCAATATTTTTTCCTGGTTCTTGGCTTGTCTTATTTTTATGGTGTCTTTTGATGAACAGAAACTCTTAATTTAATGTAGTAAATTTTAATAATCTTTTCCTTTATGGCATCTGCTTTTAGTGTCTCAATACCTTTAATGGTCCATCATTTCCTCCACTGATCTGCAGTGCCCTCTCCATCATAAATCAAGCTTTTGTGAATATGCACGGGCCTATTTATAGGGTCTTTTTTTTCTTTTGTCCATTGGTCTATTTTCTTTTTTCTGTGCCATTAATAGTTATTTACTGGCATTATTTATTTTAATTCTACAAGTCTCAATATCCAGTAAGGGCAGTCCTCCTATTTTGTTCTTTTTCTTTAGGAGTATCTTGACTATTAATATATTCGGACTTTTGTTCTTCCATATAAATTTCAGATTCCGCTTGTCAGATTCCACAGAGGTTAACTATTGGGCATTCAACTGAAATTGCATTGGATCTACATACTTATTAATCTTTTCTCACTCTTCCTTCTTGCATATCTGAATTGAACATCTGAAATCATTTCCCTTTTATCTGAAATATATATTAATATTAATACTTTAGAATCTCTTTTTTTTTAAGGGAAGGACCAACTGTTAGTTCTTATTTACCTAAAAATAGATTTATTTCAACCTCGTTTCTTAGTTTGCCAACTCAATAACACACTTAAAACAATGTGTTTTTTATGTCTGATCTGGCTTTTTCCCTTGTGTTTCATCAGGACAATAATTCAGGTTCTTTTGTCTGCCATTCTGCCTGGAGCACCATTCCTGAGATTTTTTTTTTTCAGTTCTTGCTGTGCTGTTTTTTTCATGCAACAGCCTTTTAGAATGTTTTTTAATTAAAGAGAAGAAAAGAAAAATAAAGTAATTAATTAATTAATTAATTTAAAAAGAAATAAGAAAAGGGGAAAATATATCTGGTTATCTGTCCACTTAATTAATGTTAACAATTAAAATATTAAATAATGAAAAAGTAATACATGTCTAAAATAAAAATTTTTAAATTTAACTACATAGAAAGTGAACATTGAAATCTTCCTCCCTGCAGCCTACCTTCTACCCATCTCAACTGTTAACAGTTTCTCTTGATTTCTTCCAGAAAAATATTTTGTATATCTCCATGTATCTATTGATATACTCATTTTAAAATGTTTCATATATATATATATGTCTTTTGCTTTTTTATCTTATAATATATCTTGCTGATCTCTCTACATTAGCATTTACAGTTTACGCATAGTATCCTGTCATATGGATATGTTGTAATTTATTTTAGCAGTCACCTTAAGTCACTTTCAGAACCTCTAAAATCCATTTTCATTAAAATGAAGTGCCTTTAAAGCTCCCTCCCTTTTTACCCCGTCCTCAGATCTGCTTCCTCATTCTGTACATGCACACATAGATTAAGTCTACAGAAAGCTAATTTAGTATATAAATTAAATGCTTAAAATAATTCTCATTAGCCCCAGGGAACTTCATGTGTAAAAATTAACCCATCTGCTTCAGAAGGCCACTAAGCACATTAACAGCATTAATCCTCAGGGAAGTATCGATAAATTACAGCCATCCATTGGTGTTCATTAGGGATTAGTTCCAGGACCCCCACTGATACCAAAATCAGTGGATGCTGAAATCCCTCATGCAAAATGATGTAGTGTTTGCATGTAGCTTACACTCTGCTGAATGCTTTAAGTCATCTCTGGATAATTTTATAATGCCTAATACAGTGTAAATGCTATGTAAATTGCCTGGGTACACCAAATTCAAGTTTTGCTTTTTGGAAGTTTCTTGAATTTTTTTTTAAATATATTTTTGATCGATGGTTTGTTAAATCCACAAGTGTGGAACCCACAGATAAAGAGGGCTGACTGTAGTTCCAATGTTTGTAACCTAGATTATACCATCTGCCATTCTGCATCGCATTTCTTCTCTGTGGAAATTTCCTTACCTCAGTAGACATAGACTACCCTGGAGGATGGAACCTGTGTCCTGTTAACTATCATAGTCTCATGGACTTCATACATTCTCAGCGAACGTTTGTTTCAATCAGTTGAGTTTAGCCCTATTGATATAAACAGATTAAAATGTATGTTCTTCAGAGGAAATGTCCTCCTTGGGTAGGGAAAGTTGGATAGAGAGAGGCTAAGTTCAAACAGCAAGTACAACCTGAGAAA